CTCAATTAGATAGTCTTTCGATTTTATTCTCACAATCAACTAACCTTTCGTTCTATACTGACGGTTCTCTCTCTAATCTAGGTAGGTCCTCATCTCGTATGGGAATTGCCTGGTTACAAGTCGATCCATCAGTGCCTCTTCATTCCTTCAATGCTTCTATTACCCTTCCCCAACCATCTTCCTCTCTAGCTGAATTAGTAGCGGTTTTAGCTGCAATTTATGTTTCACCCCCAACTCCAATATTGACATTTTCACAGATTCTTTAGTCACCATAGCCTCTTTTTCAAAAATGAAGTATTTTCTCACTTGCGCCCCTACATACAACCCCATCTTCAAAATTTCAAATTATCCTATTTGGTGTTCACTCTTCCGCCAGCTCAAAGAAAAACATATAGAAATCACATTCTATAAAGTCAAAGCTCATGCTGACGACCATTATAATAATGAAGTTGACCGACTTGCTAAAGAAATAAGTCCACCGATAAATCTAATACAATCAAAATTAGGTTTCGACTATACTCTCCATTATAGTAACCAGATTGTTCTGACACCTCCACGACATTTTATCAAAGATATCCTCAACTCCATTGACTTTCACAACATTCAACTACTTCCACATTTTAAAAAATATTCAACACTAAAGGTAGACTGGATTAATACTGCCTTCGTACTCAATGATAATGAAAGTGACTCTGTCACATCATATAAGGCCTCCTCCATAAGAAAATTTAAAGTCAAACTCCTGCTTGAACTCCTTCCTTCACTTGAGGTACTTAAAATGCGTCACCCTAAGCTATACGATCCTTCATGGCCTTGCCCTAAATGCCTTACTAGCTTGGAGAATTTCGATCACATCTGGCTTTGCCAACATACTTTACAACAAGTCAACGACATCTTATTAGACACTATCGCCTTCCTCTCCCAGCATTTGTCTGAACTTAATCATCAATTTGATATTGCAAGCATCATTTCAATGGATATTTGGAACCTTAATCCTGCACACACCTCTTTTAACTTTATTGACTTTATAAAAGGCATTGTTCCGTCCGTGCTTACAACGAAATTACATCAAATAGTTAATAATAAATCACTCGTCCGTGGTCTACTTTCCTCAACATACCACTTCACACATAAGAAAATCAAAGCTCTTTGGCTCGATCGATGTGCCACCCTGAAAAAATTTGAAGATGAACACAACTTGTCCCTCAAAGATCGTAAAGAAAATACAGTAGCAACTGGCTTTCCTTACTCCACCCCTCATACCTTTTCTATCCCTCCTTATTTTCATGATTCATTCCTTTTTGGTTCGCATTGGTCAAATTTTTGGATCGGTAGTAACCAGGCCCCCATACTGGATGGTTGAACCTACTTTAAATTAAATTAGGGTAGGTTAGTCTAGAACGGTGCAAGGTTGGTTTTGATTTAGTCTTGACTAGATAGAAATTTTTGTACTCTCTCATTTGTAATTTGTAATCCTTTTTACTTTACTTTTAATAAAGATTGTGCAAAGCTACCGCACGTTAAAAAAAAAAAAAAAAAAAAAAAATCTAAAATATATACATAAATAAATTTATTAAAAAAAATTATAATAAAGCAAACGTTTTTAATATGTGAAACAAATATCAGAAAGATCATTTTTTGATAATATATACTATGCCATTTTATGATGATTATATAAAGGTTTGATTGTTATAAAGGTGTAAAATTTTAATTTTAGACGGAATTATAAATTTATAATTTATACAATCACGTAATACGACGATCATTTCCATCTTTAGTGATAGAGTTCGCAAAAAATCGAAATTGACCAAATTTCCTTTACAAGGCACGTGTAACGTAAATTATATAAAAGGAAATTTGTATAACAATCATATGTATGAGGTATTATTATATATGATCGATATGGCGCAGTTACATCACGAAATAATATCACATGACTACATAAAATCGCGTGAATGCGGTCAAACGTTGATATTACGTAACTGTTGGCGTGATGACCTAAATCGCGTGATATGTTACGGATGTATATAAATCGCGATCAACAAATCCTGGACACTCTAATCTGTGAAAAAAATAAAACTTTTCTCCAAACGACGAAATGTCTGACTTACAAGGTATTTTCAAACTTTTTTGAATCTAGTAATTTCTTTTCGTAGAACTTTATTACCTTCCCTTCATGGGATGTTACCTTTCCCTTCGTGGAATGTTACCGCTTCTTCTTTGCAGGAAGGCTTGAAGTGTTACCACATTACCATCTCGTTCGCGGGATGCGCATACCTTCCGTTTCGGGTTGCATCTACCCTTCCTACGTACTGGGGAAGTGAAGTATACCCTCCTTGTGTTGGAGTGAATCTCCCTTTTCGCCTTCCTGAGAGGATCATTAGACAGTTTAGAAAGTCGAAGAGTTCGTTCATACTTAGTACTCTTCCAATTGTGGAAGTACTAACTTCATTTTCTTTTTAGTTTCACCGCCACATATAAGAAGTATGATTGTTGTGGAAAGCCAGAACGCTCCGTAATGTGTAGTGGCGATATACAAGGGTTAACTGAGGAACAACTTGAAATATGGTTAAAAAGCGCGACCACCAATCCATTCTAACATCGAAAAAGAAAAAAAAATAAAATAAAAGAATTTTGTATGATTTCTTTTTATTAATTTTATAAAATATCGGAAAAACCATTTTTCGTTAAATTTCATATGATCGACAAACCCGTTCAGATGCAAATAATTATTAATTTATATTTTAACCTAACCTTTTAAATAAAAATACACCAATATTTTACAATACAAATTTTAAAGCAAACAAAATCATAAAAATTTACTTGATACTAATAAAGAAAAATATCTAAAAAGATGTAGCTAATTAATGGTTTAATAAAGACTTGAAATTAATAACCAAGTAAAGATCTGATATAATATTTAATATAAATAGCAAATAAAGAAGGTAAAACTATCATTATTCATCATTATTATAGGTTTATGTTTAAAAATAATTTTAATAGATACCATTTCAAATGCCTGATATAATTTATTTGGGAATGTCGAGTGAATGTCATACCACGTGATTTGTTACACCAAAAAGTTACGATAAAACCCTTCTATCTCTTATATTTCTTTTAATCCTTTCAGCCAATTCTCGATTTTTCTTTGAAATAAAATACGTTGCTTTACCACGTTTTCCGGCTCTAGCAGTCCTACCAACTCTATGGAGAAAATCCACGACAGTGGTGGGGAAATCAAAAAGTATCACATGATCTACAAAAGTAGTATCAAAACCTCTGGAAGCAAGATCCGTACATACAAGAATTTTAGCGTGAGGCTCTTGATTTCGGAATGATTCTAATTTAGTTGTTCTATCGTCTATGTCTCCATATAATCCTATCACTGGTAAGCTTTTTGAGTGAAGGAACGCTTCTAATCGCTCGGCCGTTAGTTTTCTGTTGCAAAAGATCATAGTTGATGCAGATGTAGAATAGGTTTTCAAGATTTGTAAGATAGCTTCAAGTTTATTATAATTAAATTGTTTTAAATCAATAAAATTATGTGAAAGATTTGGTAAAGATTTATGTAAAGAATGTGAAGTTATACGTTTCATAAACGGTAACTCTTTACTTAACATTTCATTAACAGTTTTCGGTAAAGTCGCTGTTACCACTATAACTTGATATGGACGATTATCTTGTGTTAAGTTTGAACGTTTAACTTGTTCAATAATTGAGCTGACATCTTCATCAAATCCTTTATTAAACATCGTATCGGCTTCATCGATAACCAAATAACGAGTTTCTGACAATGAAATATTCTTCCCTTCAATGTATTCTATTAACCCTGCTGGAGTTGCTACAACTAAATCCGTTGGCATTAAAAGTGTTTTACGTACAAATCGACGATTTTTGTGAGAGGTGATTGCTATAGATCGAAATTTCGCAAAATGAGACAAATGTTTGGAAACTGAAAGAACTTGCTCAACTAATTCTCTTGATGGCAAAAGAACGATGGCCCTAGGTCGATTTAATTGTCTTATGGATGATTTTAATAGTGTTTGTTCTAACTTTTTGTCCTCGTTTCCATCAATCATTGAAGGAAATGGTCGTGCTTTTATTTCTTGATCTTTAATTTTATTAATGATAGGCAACAGATAAGCTAAAGTTTTACCGCTACCGGTTTCAGCTGCACATAAAATATGCTGCCTCTCAGAATTTAAAATTTCTGGTATAGTTAAAGCTTGAATTTCTGTCGGTCGTAAAGGGTCAACTTCTTTTAATGGTCCTTGACTAATTGCTTCTAAGACTTCTTGTCTTAAATTCATCGATTCGAATGTTAAATGCTCAAGATGAAGAGAGTCCAATTTAGTAGATTTTCCTTTTAGATTTAATAACTCTAAATTTTCTTGTCGCGAAGATTTTTGTTTGTTTGACAAATCATTTGTGGTGTTTTCTGAAGCGTTCTGGTGTTTGTTTTCGGTTAATTTCACATCACTTTCAATTGGTAATAATTTAAATTTTGCTGGAATATGGCCACGCGTTTTTTTTGACACTGGAATTGAAGGTTTAATATATTTATTTGTCGGAATTTGACGTTTTTGTTGCCTTGTCGAATTTAGCGATTTTAAATTATTATTAATTTTGAATTTATCTACGCTAAAACTGCCGCTCGGTGTATTGCTTCCATGATATCTTGGTAAGGTTTGTTTTGTGGGTGGTTGCCGCGTTTTTTGGCCTACTGAATTTCGTTTACGAAATACTGCTCTTTTTGAATTTAATAATAATGTACCAGATGTATTAAATGTACGTTTCGAACATAGTGAGCTGATAAATAGATTAGATTTTAATTGAAAGTTTGTATATAATTGGCAATTTGATAAGAAAAGCATTTTTTAACTGAATTTTTTTTTTTTTTTTTTTTTTTTGATAATCTCAATTTATTGTAAATATAGGGTTACCACTTATTGTAAAATATAGGGTGTCCAGAAATATGTGATGGTAAATCTCAAAATATGTGCGATAATATGTGTTCATAATTCTGGTAAAAATTATGTTTAAATTTTTAAATTTTAGGTAAAATTATTAAAAGTAACCTAAAGTAAACTAATATAAAATAGATTTTTCAGAAAGGCGCAGTCTTCCTTCATTTAAAATATTTTTATAAAAATAAAACGGTATTTCAAACGGATATAGAAAATTTTGAAAAGACCGAGAATTTTTAAGTAGACAATCTTATGTTCATTCGAGTTCCACGTCCAATAGTTTGGTACAAACTTTACCCTTTGAAGAACACTTATTACAACATACTCTTGGCCTGAAATTGCTAAATTGTAGGAAAATTGTATAGATGTATTGCAAGGGATTGTTTTATTTAAAAATCTTCACTTTTTTTTATTTGTTGGTATGGACATGGATTGAACTCATTAGTGTCGGTGATAAGTGTCTGTAAGGTTTGGTATCACTTGAACTAGATTTCTTAAAGTTAGAGAGGGATATTATTATATCTATCTATTTATTAATTTCTTTTTCCAATATTAATTAAGGCAACGTGCAGTGATTAGATTATATGTACATCAACTTGAAAAGAATTACCAAATACATTACAATCACATACATTAATGGTGACCTACTGACCATTTCTAAAGATAGAATGTGGTTGATATTCGAAAGATGTGAAGGTATGTTTATGAAAATTCTTCCAATGCATCTCTTCAACAAAATAACCCAAACCTATATACTTAGGGTACAACACCTTATAAATTTGTCATGAAAAATAAAGCAGATGCTCGTATAATTTGGGATTATTCCTGGATACATTGTTTGCTGGATCTAGGGACAAGACAGTATCTTTGTAATTGTTTATTTTGCATGGAACATTTAGATAATTTGAAATTATAAATTATTTTATCGTTATTACATATCAATAAACGTCGTCACCCACGTGATTTGATCGGCATTATGTCATTACATGTGACATAAAATTCATACATATAAGGGATAAAAATACGTTCGTTTTTTTTATAAAAGAAATATTCATTTTCTCTCAGAATCTGAAATATGGCGAATCTCAGTAACTTACCCAACGTTGGTAGCGCACCTATAATTTAGTAACAATTCAGATGCTGATTGATGCCAATCAACTTCAATCAGACAAGCAATTCAATCATAAATCAATCTAAAATTAACCTCAATTCAGTATTAATTTGATAATAATTTAGACGTCAATTGATGTTAATTGACTCTAATTAGATAAGTAATTTAGTATAAATAAGTATATAAAATTAGTATATTTTATTTATTAAATTTATCAAATATTAAAATTTTATTAAGAATAAATTCTAATATAAATTTGCAAAAATATAACAAAATATTACTAAAATCTACTGATTAATTTTTATTAAAAAAATAGAATAATAAAATAATAAAAATATGATTTGTTTCCTTTCTAAAATCTCCTAAAATCATCCTAAATATTGATAAATAAATAAAATATGATAAGAATATAATCTATTTATTTTGAAATCACCTAAAAAAATTATCAAAAAAAATATAAAGATAAATAATAAAATCAACTGTTTCTATTTTAAATTGCTTAAAAAAATGTAAATATAATAAAATTGATTCTTTATCCCTTTAAAATCGTCTAAAAAATATAAAGATAAATAATTAAATTAATCTGTTCTTACTTTGAATTGATCAAAAAAAATGTAAATATAATAAAATTAATACTTTACATCTAAATTGTTTAAAATTTATCAATTATCATTATCTATTATAAGATTGTCTTTAATTTCTTTAACAATGAATAAAATCCTCTTTGACTTCAGTATATTCTTTGTTTTTAGTTACATATTTTTAAGCAGTTATAACATTCACTTTAATTTTAGTATCATAAATCAAATTAAGTTGTATTTTATTTGATCATTTTAAAGCATTAAATGAATGTGATCAGTCATAATACTACATATTATTATTGTATTTTATTTTTATTTGCATTTAAGATAATGATAATGTAGCATTAAAATTAAATACTTTTTTAAGTAAATATTTAGCTAAAAAAGAATATTAGTGAAATATATTAAATAAATTTGAAATATATTAAATTAAATAAAGAAAATAATAAACTTCAGCTAATTGCTAAGAATAGTTATGCTGAATATAGCAATAATGATTTTAGACAATTTTCTTCATATATTTCGCTGATTTTTAGCAAATAATATTAGCAATTACTGAGTATTTAGAGTAAAAGAAAATTAATTATTGTAAATATAAAATATTAGTATATGAATTTTTATCTCACTTGTAGATCTTTAGTTTTCTTACTAAATTTCTCATTGATTTAAGAAATCAGTTTTATTTTAAAAGATCAGAATTTTGTTGCTTCAATTTCTTAATTCTTTTGATAAATTCAGCAAGTTTTTCTTTCAACTTTTAATAAAAAAAATATATTGTTAATATAAAATTATGAATAAAAATAAATTAAAATAATATATTTGATTTTAAATTATTTGAATCATCAAGAATCTTAAATTCAATTATAGCTAAAGTATTTGCTGTTAATTGTCATCAAAATTTTAATGGAAGCCAAATTTTCTTATATTGTTTTGCATTTCTTCTAAAATCTACTTTTATAATTTGAAAAGTTATTTAGTATCAATATAAAAATAATATATTATAACTAATATATACTCTAAAAAATCAGCTCATTCTCAAATGATATTATGTGAATTTGTTTTATCTTTTTCTATTATAAAAAAGTAAAAAATCAGTTTATTATTTAAAAAATTAATTGGTTAATTAATAAAATTCAATTTATATTTTAGTTTTTCTTTGGCTAATTTTAATTTTTAGAGGCATTTTAGTGATATTGATAATAATTGTATTTCTATTGTAAAAAGTAAAAAAATCAGTTTATTATTTGAAAAACTGAACTGATTATTTGATAAAATTTAACTTATATTCTTCTTCTTTATCATTTGATTTTAATAGTTATGAATATGTTTTTAGTTTTAATGGTGACTAAGATTCTATTATAAAAAGTAAAAAATCAGTTTAGTATTTGAAAACTAAACTGATTGATTAATAAAATTTAATTTATATTTTTCTTCTTTATTAGCTGATTTTGATAATTGTAAACATGCTTTTGATTTTGATGATAATGAGATTCTATAAAAAATAAAAAATCAGTTTATTTTTTAAAAACTAAACTGGTTAATTAATTGATTAATAAAATTCAACTTATATTCTTTTCTTTCATCAGCTAATTTTGATAGTTATTAACATATTTTTAATTTTAATAGTGATTGAGATTTTAATATAAAAAGTAAAAAAAATCAGTTTATTATTTGAAAAATTGGTTGATTGATTGATAAAATTTAACTTACATTTTTTTTATTCTTGTGATAATTTTTTTATTAACATTTTGATGATATTTATATAAAAAGAAAATTGTAAAAAGAATAAAATTTAATAGTAGAAATAAAATTTGATTTTAAAAAGAATAATATTTGAGTTGAAATTATTTTTTTAAAAAGTGAAAAAATCAAGTTTATTTATATAAATTTTTATATATATTATATACTGATAATAAATTTAAATAGTTATATCATATAATACATTAAATTAATATAATACTTAAAATAAATTGAAAATAATTTATCAATGTAATTTATACTTTAATTATATATTAAAAAACTTAAAGTAATCAAAAATAATTTATCAATGTGAAAAAAATGACAGTGTAAACTTTTACATATAATTAATTCTTTTTTAAAAGGATTTATATAAATAATTACATAATGTTTTCTTGTATTACTAGTTTGAATGCTATATGTATTTATTTAAAGTCTGCAATGCATATTTTAATATAAATAAAATTTTTGTGATTGTAAAATAAGATTAAATTTGAGTGTTTGATCATTAAATTAAAATTACAAAAATTTTACTATATTAATAAGTTTTATCCATTAATAAAATAATATTTAGCTAAAAATTTTACAATAGAAACAATATATTTTAATTAAAAAGGTAGGAAATAGAAAGCATAAAGTTAAATTAATATGAAGAAAGGCTAACTTCCTAATTGTTTAGTATTTTAATTTGTATTTAAATCCAGATTGATAGAAAAGAAGAATACCTTTTATATTTTAATTATTTGAATATATAATTTCTTAATTAAAAGCATTTGAGAATAAAAAAATTTTAAAAGTTATTTATTAAATTCTTTATTATTCAAAAAAAACTTTCTGCTATTCTTTTCGTTAGAGACTATACACTAAATCAAAATTAACTTAAAGTAAATTAGAAATAATACCTTTATCATATATTAAATTATTATAAGATTTAGAAATAATTTATTGATATATTAAATTAAAATAAGTAAATCAAAAATAATACTTTTATTATGCATTAAGTTAATACAAGATTTAAAAACAATTATAAATACATTAAATTAAAGCAAACTTAATAAAAATAATTATAAGTATTAAATTTAATTTAAAATTGTTTTAAAAAGAAAATTTGTTTATACTTATTCAAAAAAAAAAAATAGTTTAAATAATATAAATATTTGCAAAACTATTACACTTTTTTTTAAAAAATATAAAATTCAATTAAAATCATCTTTATAAATAATTTTATTTTAAATTTTTATTTTCTTCTTAATTTTTCAATTATAAAAAAAAATAAACTGAAAAAAATTAATTTTTTAAAATATGTAATAATGATAATTTATTATTAAGTTAATCTTATAATACATCTTTTTGTAGAAAAAATAGATCAATTACTAGATTAATTAATAAAAAAAATATTTCTACTTCTCAAATCTTCTAATATACCTTTTTGTAAAGAAGAAGTAGATTGATTAGTAGTTTAACTAGTAAAGAAAATA